GGCAGCTCTGTATGGTGTGCTGCCCCTGCAGCTCCCATTAGCTGTAGTTTCCAACCAATGGGAGCTGTGGAGTTGGCTCTGGGAGCAGGGGAAGTATATAGAGCTTTCCTGATCCCCTCTGCATCTAGGGGCCACAGGGATATACTAGGGCTTCTGGCCTGTGGCACAGAGATTTGCCACAGGTTGACTGACATTAATCAGTGGGTTGGATCCAGTCCATGGGCTGGAGGTTCCCCACCCCTGCCATATATTTTATACCCTGGTATTCCTGAGTCCCATTGATTATCCTCATTCCACTAAGTTCTTCTTCGAGTGCTTGCTCATGTCCATTCCAATCAGGTGTGTATGTGCCATGTGCATGGATATCTGAGCTTTTTTCCCTCAGCAGTATCCATAGGGCCAGCCAGGGAGCCCCCTGGAGTAGCGCCGGCATAATGGCACATATATACCGCTGCTGGTCTCGCCACCCCCTCAGTTCCTTCTTACTGCGGGTGGGGCAGCTGGAGGAGTTAGACCTTTAGTCTTCCCTCAGCTTTCATTGTTTCTTTGTAGTGTAGTTAGCACCTAATTAGTCTGTAAATAGTTCTTAGTCATAGTGCTTAGAGTTAGGGGAGCTTTGTTCCTCTTCCCCACCTCTCCCTGGCTGGGGAGGGGATGCCAGGGCAGCACAGATTCAAGCCTTGTGTGTCCTGCTTGAAACCCATGCCCTGCGGGGATCCGCACGACTCCTGTCTTAAGTGCTTGGGTGAGGCTCCTTGCATGCAAGCCTGCAAGATCTGCAGGAGTTTTAAGCCGCAGACAAGGAGGGAGAGGGACTCTAGGCTCAAGAGACTTCTCATGGAGTCCTCTCTCCAACCACTGGCACTGGAAGAGGCCCAATCGGTGTGCAGTGCCCCCTCCTCAGTGCGGAAGCCCTCGGTGGCACCACTTAAGGCTAAGCCTAAGCCTAAGCCTTCCCGGCAGCATTCATAGTCTCAAGGAGGGGAAGGGTAGATCCCCACACAAAATAGGCTGCAAAGTGTGCTTGAAGGAGGGGCATTCGGTCGCGAAGGCCCAGACCCAGACTCGAGCCGAGCCCGGGCAGGGATACGCTCCCGTAATGTTTGAGGCTGAGGGAGCCTTGCAAGAGCTGAGACTGTCAACACCAGAGATGTATCATGTGGCATGCGACCTGATAGTGCTAACTGCTCCAGAGACACCAACCTTCTTCATACCGGCACCGAGTAAGCTGACGGTGCATTGGTCGGCACAGGCAGCGGCACCGCGACATCGTTGACAGCTTCATGGGTACTGGGCCTTCAGATAACCTGGGTATATGGTCACCCACCGGCGGCGGTTGGTGCGGCACCGGGAGTGCCGGCGCCAACAATGCCCATGCCTCCCCTCACTCCCCCAGCACCTACATTGACTCCAGCCCAAGTATCGACTCCTACTCCAGCCCCAGCACTGTCTCTGACCTCAGTACCAACCTTGGTATGGGCACCGGCACTGGCCTCGGCACCGACCTTGACACCCATCTTGGTACCGGCCTCTGCACCATCCCTGCCACTGGCAACAGTACTGTCCCTGGCACCGGCCCCCCTATCGACAGTGGCACTGAACCCTGCACCAGTAGTTCTACCAGCACTCCCACCAGTGGTAGCACCATGCCTAGCACTGACGCTGGCACCGATCCCAGCTTCAGTGCTGACGCTCATACCTGCACCGAGTTTAGCACCGATGTTGGTGGCACCGGTGCTGTTCCCGGACTGGCCAATGCCTATGCCCTCCCTGGCACTGGTCCCGCTGCAGTGGGGGCAAAGAGCGTTCCACCCTTGACGGCACCACAAGGCCTGACGATGCAGGCGACACCACAAGTGCACACAGCACCAACACAGCCCTTTTTACCTCCGGCACCAGTCTCGATGCTCAAGGGGAAGCCATGGGCTATGGCCCACCATCGGAGGGAGCAGGTGTCAAGTGCCCCCCCGTGGTCGGCTTCAGAGTATTCATCGGACTTGGATGTGGAGTTCCTGAAGTTGGGAAGGTCCTCATACAGGTCTAGATCGAGGCACCAGTGCCATTCACGCCACAGGGCAGTTGGTGTTGACCCGGCCCAGCAGTACTCCTGGCCTCCCCAATAATGGCCCTTTTGGACCCCGTGGGCCTACCATCAAGCCCAAGGGCCACCCCTCGAAGCATTTGTCTCGGGGTTGTCAAGGCAAGGGAGTCCTCCATCAGCAATGCCTCTGCATAGAGCCTCCGCATCTGAGACAGATAGGTCGATGTCAACGGCGACCTCTAGACCACAGGCGGCTCATAGTGATGTGCCATCCAGACCTCTCCCCACGCTGAACCCATGCAGCCAGCTCCATCAACAGAGCCAGGACCACCAGTGAGTTAGCAGATGGAGGACCAGCCCTTACCAAGGGACTCCTCATCCTCCTCGCCTGAGGAGGCCCTAGGTGACTCAGCCCCTTCGCTGCCGACGATGGATGCTAGGGCCCAACAGGACCTCCTGTGGAGGCTGGTGGCAAACTTGTTGGTAAAGGTGGAGAAGGTGTATGAAGAGGCTGATCCAACAGTGGACATCCTCTCGACAGCTACCCCCGGGAGGGTGGCATTGCCTCTGATAAAAACAGTGGACAAGCTGGCTAAGGCACTCTGGTTGACACCTGTCTCCATCCCTCCCACCCATAAGGGTGTAGAGAAATGGTACTTTGTCCCCCAGGAGGGGCATGAGTATTTTTTCTCACATCCCCCTCCGAGCTTCTTGATTGTCCAGGCAGCAGGGCAGAGAGAACGGCAGAGTCCCCCGGGGCCTACCCCCAAGGCCAAGGACCCAAAGAAATTGGACCTTCTAGGAAGGACGGCTTACTCTACGGGGGGCCTACAATTACGCATAGCTAACCAGTAGGCTATGTTGGGGAGATATGCTTTCAATACATGGTCCACTATGGACTGTCAGTCCCCGTAATACATGAGGTTCGAAGGGATGCCAGAAAGGATGAGACCACAACTGGAGGTTTAAAAAAGCACAAACTGATTTTATTTTGATGACGCCAGACAATCATCAGAACAAAAATTAAACAGGTTGCCCCAGACAACACAAAACAATTCCCTGAGGCTTTTCTAAATCACAATAATTCCCAATAACTGCCCAGGGGTTAGGAACAATTGAATTAACACTGGTATTGTCCATAGGGCTGATTATTTACACAACTTTATACAAGGAAACAGTAAAAACCCTAAACCATAACTATTTATAAACTAACTTAGTAACTTTTTAACCACTGTCATTTGACAAGCAATAAGGACAACTAAAAAATCAATTAGGATAGGATGATGACCGGGGAGGGGGGACGGTCGCATGCTCATAAACTGTCTCCACTCGGGTCGACCAACTCGGAATACGTTCAGTAAGACTCGAGAGCGGGGGGTGCAAGGCGTCTGGGTGATCAGGCCAGGCGTTCACTCAATACGAATCCCCAGTGAGAGAGGGGCTGCCTGCCTGTTTTATTGCCTGTGAACTTATCACCCCATAGGTTGTTTTTTGCTGCAGTGGGTGGAGTAGCAGGCCTGAGCACAAGTCAGCCCATTGGCTGATCTTTCACTGTAATGGGTGGAGCGAGCAGGGGAAGATTATTAATTTACATGCCCTTATATGGAAAACACTCCACCTCACAGACAGAGCCCCCTATACCAGCCTTAGAGGTATTACAGGCTATGGCTCCCTGAGACAGGCAGCCATTGTTGTAGTTCTGACTCGGACATGCCCCCGTGGCTGTCTGGAGCAAGCGGTAAGGGGGTGGCCAAAGGTGAGAGCGCACGTAAGGGTAATTAGCAAGGAGCCAATTGGGTAAATTGAGGTTCTGGTGAGCTGCTGTCTTCAGAAAGGGGGGAAAAGGAAGAATAAGTAACAGTAACAGGGAATGCGGAAACAACTCTGTGGATAAGAGCTTTTGCAACAGCAATGCTCACTAAAAAGGCTAGTAACACAAGAGCACATACAATCAACCACTGCTTAATGGTGGATGCCCAAGTACTCAGTCCCCAAGAGGAAAGTTTTGTTTGCCACCAGTCCCATTCTTCCCGCTGTTCGCGAATCCGAACTGCAAGTGAGGTCAGCTGTTGGGTGACGGTTGAAACGTTGTTCTACCCGGGCTTGAAACGCAAACAGTATTGGTCCTTAAACCTGGGGTCAAGGTCCTCGAGTGCCATACAAAAGTCCTTCTGCAATATAACCTGTATCATTAGACGATTCTGTTAGGCATAATGAGCTAGTACAGTGAGAGCCAAATCGACTTGTTGAAACCCTTCAGCGGTCAAATTAGTGAGGGCTTCGAGACTGCGGGACATTTGGTCAATCTGACCTAAAATAAGGGCATAAGAAAGAGGGTTAAATTGAACATATCCCCAAACTAACGATTCAGTGGCAGACTTAAATTTTTTTCCATCTTGATGGTTCTCGTCGGCTCCTGAAGTTAAACAGCCGGTGGGGATGGTGGTATATTCCACTACCTTGTAGAGATTGTTCAGCCAGTGATGGGCTCGACTGGGTTGGTACCTGAAAAACAAAAAGGGGAAAAACAACGCCCTCAAGGCGGGCTAATTAAGATCGAAGAGAAAGCCAATTGTGATGGACTAACGTAGGTTGTTTGTTGTTTTCGATTTGGACATGATAGGTGTTAGGAAACTGACCGGAATTAAGAATGGCACCTGGGACTGGGTTACGAGATCCTTTGGCATTGGGAATGGTTACCCAGACAAGTTGAGAGTTTGTGAACTGTGGCTTCCATGGTGGCCGGGGCTTAGCTTTAACTTCCGGCCATCTAGAATACGCCTCGTTCAAGGAAATGAGGACTTGGGATAGGACTCTACTCCATCCTTTAAAGTCAGGAGTTCCCAATGCAGCCCGTAGCTGGTTTTTTAACATGCCGATGCCTCTCCCCGTTTTTTGGCTGCGGGGGAGTAGGGCGATCTTCCCACCCCAATATAACAAAAAGGGGATAATTGTCTCGTTTTCGGTAGTCAGGTTTTGATAGGGTCGAGGGTCATTTAAATCAGGCCAAGTGACCGCTAGGCACTCGGCCTCTCCCCGTTTTTTGGCTGCGGGGGAATAGGGCGATCTTCCCACCCCAATTTCACAGCCAAGTCTTTCTGTTGATCACTATTCATTTTCCTAATAGCTTCCTTGGTGAGTCCCTTACCCAATAAAAATCCAAAAATCTTACGCTCGATGAACGAACGCTCGGGGTATTTGGGTTTGGGCACCATTTTGGACCCTTTCACCAGAGTAGAGGGGGTTGCAAGTAGGGCGGCCTTTAGTGTTGCCCACTTCACCCTCTCTACAGCGTCGTATAGTCGGCCAATAGGTTGTCCTGTGTATCCCCTTAGCCACAGAAGAGCCCCTGTGTCTAGATTAGGGCTGTTGTCCACGGCTAGGGTAACAGCCGCATCTTCTATGGGAATCTGAGTGGGATCATCAACAAAACGAAATGGGTTTTGTGCTACCGTCTGAACGTTAGTTAAGTTGAGGGGGTGTGCAGTGGGATCCCAGAGCAGAATAGAACTCCCAGTGATCGCGTACATAAGGGTAGTGGAGTTATTCACACAATCAGGTGGCATCTGTACTGCGTGAAATCCCCCTTGTATTTGGAGGTGTGCGGCAGCCGCGGCTGTTACAGACCAATGATTATTCGCTGCCAATCCTCCCCCCATAAGGCCCCGCGACCAACTCCCAGTATGGGTTAATGTTAAGGCTTCCTCCCGGTCAACCCAGTTGCTCCCCTGTTCCAAGGCTAATCGTCCCACCCAGATTATAGGAGGCTCATCCGGACGTCGAGCAGTATCCGTGATGAACTCCTTCATTTCTGCCTTGGTTCGGGGGCGGGTCTCAGTTACCTGAGAGGTATTCCCCTGACCATCCATTTTTAATCGGGTTACGATCACAGGAAGGGCCTCCGGTACAATCAGGTCGGGAGCTGTGGGTATGGTTGAACTCAGGGTAGTCAAGCCAGGGTAAATGTTTGGTGGGTCATGAGAGCCTTGGTATGGGGGAGGAAGTTGTGTCTCTAAAGGAGGCGTCTTTGGCGCCTGAGGGGAAAACTCCGGTTCTCCCTCTGACTGTGAGTGCGCCACCCCACGTGCACAATTTGTAACGGCCCCATGGTAGACAGTAACTTTATCAAGGGC